TATCAAATACATATTAAAAGTAGTGTTACTTACAATTTCCAGAATATAAAAATAAAATACAGTACACGGATTGCAACCTTTTGTACCATAAAAGAGGCAGCACAACTTTTTAATTTTCACTTGCATGCTTAAGGTGGGGTTTTTGAAAGGTAACTTTGAAAGTTAGAAACCTTGAAGTTTGTCCAGTCCCCTTGAAATTCAGTGGGACTCTTGCATGCGATTCTGTCAGTCTTTGAGAATGGTGAAGCCCTTTAGTAGTTCAGGTAAGGCAGGAAGAAGTGCTTAAGTGACCGATGTTTTCATTCTGGAGAAGAAATCATTCACAGGCTAATTTTGTATTTGTACTGGACATTAAAGAAAGTGATCCTCACTCTGAGCACAGATGAATTAAAAACTACCTGAATTACAGGCTGGAAGATTAGGTTTTTTTGACATTTAGCTGCAGACAGGGGTGTTGAATGGCAAAACTACCCATGAACCTAGTGTCTTCCAATCTGTTGCTAAAACAAAAGTGTTTGATTCTCGAGGATAGCACAAGGATTAAATACTGCTCTCAGGAGCTAAGTGTTGCTGTCTTCACTGTTTGAATACTTCAGATGAAGGCTTCATATGTGTTTTAAATATTTTCTAGTCATTAGTGGATGGCATTTTCTCCAAAATTTCTAAAAATTAAATGATATATCCAAAGTATTGATAAAGTTTAGCAGCTGACATTGATTAAGGCAGGAACATATTCTTGGAACATATATTCTTAAAAAAAAAAATAAAAAATCCTGCTGAGTTCTCCACAGTTTCTCAGGTCGTTTTTACTGGGCCAGATTATTGGACTTTTAATATTATTATTCTGCTTGCCTATTATAGTGTCTGAGGAGGCCAAGTGGGGAAAAAAAAACCCCTTTGCTCTGTTACAAATGGGTGTCCATCCAAAGTGGTAATGGCTTGGGACATTCAGAACACTTTAATGTTATACCTTAGCTTTACTTGTAATTGTAAAAACAAATTAATCCTGATGTATGTAGTATTTGAAGCACATGACTGTCCAGTGTCATTCTCTCTGTTATGAAATCAGATTATGTGCTGTCTTTGGTCTCTCTGTTAAACCCAGGAGAAGTTGCTCTCATTTTAGTTCATTCCTAGCAAAAGCAATTCTTTGTCATCAGAGTAAATTGTATTTGGCTATCAGGATCACAGTGTGAAAGGTGTTTGGGACAGGCGTTGTTTTTGTTTGGGGTTTTTGTTTTGTTTTTTAAATATCGCTATTCAGGATGCTATATATAAAATACTTGTGTGATAATATCTTCCCTGAAGTAATTGGCCTGGATTAGGTAAAGATGCGGGGTGACTTGACATAAATGCAGTAAGAATTTTGTATTGAAAGCGTAAAGCATATTTTATTAATGGGACTGTTAGGTATCTCCTGATTCATTTCACTCAAAATGTGAAGCTGAAGAGACTGAGACTGTTGATACTGCGAGGGAGTACTGCTGAAGAAACTTTCAGAACCTGAAGTTTGGTAATTAAAGGTAAAGTGAACCAGAACTGCTTAGGCTTTTAGCACGATGCTACCCTCTAGTGGAACAGTATTGCATTAAAAACCCCAATATTTATGTCAGTGAGCAGCAGGGTTTTAACTAGATGTGATATGTGTTATGCGGTATACTTGAGTACATATATAGCAGTTACAAAATAGAAGAAAATTTGAGGAAACCACCTCTATTATCGATGATAATGAAAATGTAATCTGTAACTAAAATGGGTATTTCTTACTCTGATCGCTCCAAATAGTTGCTTTGCAAAAGGTTAATCAGAAGTTCTTGTTCAACAGCGATTCAGTTGGGTTTAATAGGATTTCATTCAAGGATTCTTTTGAACGTCAATAGCATTTTGCACAAGTCAGAAATGTATGCTGAGCATTTAAATCCTTCTCATACATTGTTCAGGCTCTTTGGTTGGTTGGTTGTTTGCTTTCGTTCCCTGCTTCAAAGTGAACCCCTCCAGACTATACTTTCTTCTCAAAACATATGATTAATATGGATGCATCCAGTTTAATCTGACGTTCTTGAATCTGTGACATACCTGTTGTATTTGCAAATAAAAGGTAAATGCAGGGAAATGTTGGATAGGCATCTGGTGAAAGACACGCTGTGCTGACTGGAATATGTTATCTCTGAGTGTTTGGGGTTTGTGCAGGGAAAAGAAAAGAACTTTTGGAATTTCAGTTGATGTAAAGATTAAAGTAGGGAAAAATTAAAAACAAAGCTTTGATAAGGAAACAAGTGTTTGTTATAGTAGAAATAGTAGGGTGGGAGGAGATTATTTGCGTAGGTATTTCATTTCCCAGATCCCAAGTTGGATGGCTGAGTGAGGTTTTGGCAGCCAAGTAATAGGCTTAAAGAAGAACAGGAAAACCTGTAACAGACCTGACTTTGGGGATGCTGTTGTGAAAATGGAAGAATAAGTGATGTAACTTCTGGAAAAGAGGTTCTACTGGATTCAGGGAGAGGTCTGGGGATTTAAGCATGGGTTTAGCTCCCAAACTGAGGCTTTTGATTTAACTATCATTTTCCCCTTTGTGATTTTCATTCTCTGCTACACAAAAGACTAAGTAGCATGGTACATCCCCTACTGTCAGCTTGGTTGTTGATGGGGAGAATGTGGTAGTTGTGGCAAAATAGTAACCTTGAGAGATGCAGAAGCGTACTTTCTCTATACCTTTCTTACTCTCTTGGTCTGACTCGCCAGCTATAGTGATATGTTGTGCTAATGTTGGTTTTTCTGTTCGAATCAGATTGTAGACTTTCTGGCAATAGGTCATAAGAAGCAAAATTCGTTTGTTGTTTAAAGACCTTGTTGTACATTTCCACTGGAAATGTTCTTAAGTTTTAAATATAAACCTTATGTTGTGATTTATGTTTATGTCTGAATTTCTCCAAAGTTAATACCACAAAGTGTATGGGGGTTGCAGTTTGGAATGATAGGGAGAAGTATTGGCATGAAGAAAACATGTAAATGAAAACTTCTTAAAAACGTGTCTGTCTTCAAGTAGGAATGACCTAGATGTTTGGGAGAACAAGGGACAGGAGGAGTTTGACTGTTGCAAAGAGGCTTACATCTGCATTAAAACAACTATTTTGAGTTTAAAGGAAAAAAGTGGGGAAAATACAACTTACTGGATGGCGTAATACTTCACCTGGAAAGCTGTTAGAGGCTAACATAGACTACAGGTTAAACTAGTCGGCTTATTTCAGTGTGATATCTAACTTGCTGATCAACTCTTTGCTAGAAAGTTTAGTAGGCAGCAAAAAGACTTGCAGTGCTGCCAATAGCTGGTAAGTGTTTTGCATATAGCATGCATTGTTGGGGAGGTAAACATAGGTAAAATTTTGAGGATCTCTATATGGGAAAAAAGCAAACGAACCAACTGAAGCAATGAAATTCATTCTACAGAGTTAACAAGCAGGTGTTCTCAGAAGTTAGGTTGCCCTTAGTGTCCAAAACATCAAAGATCGTTGTAGATCCTTCAGAGTTTATGGATGAAACTTCAGAGAAAAGTGTGTGAAGTGAAAAAGTTTTTTAAAAAGCTTTGAAAATGGTAACAGGGCCATCCTCAAAATGTAGTTCTTTGAGGCAATTAATGAAGGTTCTTGAAATATTTTCTTCTAATACGCTATTCCATATAGAGTGATGGTTTCCAAGTAGATACTGAGTAAGGCAACTAAAGAAGTAGGTTCAGTATTCGTATAAGCATCGTGCTTAAACATTAGAAACTGTTGGATAATGCCTTAAGCTATCCCTATAGGTAAAGAAACTAAGGGAAAAAATTATAAAATATTGTCCACTGTTTGTCTGAATGTGATGGTGCAATTGTTTGAACAAGTAGCAGAGATTTAAAAGAAATGATTTACTGTTGCATTCCTGTATTACATGTGGTAAAGCTTCTGTTCAGATGCTACAGAGTGGAGTACAACAAAAAATGCAAAAAAAAATAAGAAATCCTGTAATTAGCACCGGTCCTCTGGCAGTTAGGCTTAAAAAAATAGGAAGGTGGCTAATGTGACTACTTCTTTCTGGCAGTTTTCTTTCTCTGAAGTTGTTTGTGCTTCTACCAAACTCTGAAGAACATGTCTTACCTCATGCTGAAAGAGGATTTTCATCCTACCTTAATTGTATACACTGTTTTCTTTTGTGGAGGCCCTTACTTTGCTGCTGCAATTGAAGGAGGTTTGTGTTAGACTTGACAGGTTGCAAGATGATGACACTTCCCCTGCACTTAACTAAGGAACCAAGAGAGAACTGAAACCACACAGAGAAAAATGAAAAGCTTTGGAAGCTATAAAGCCTTTCTCTGACACATGCCATGTAACTACCTTACAGTGCAAAGACTGAGCTTGAGAAAGAAATAGGGTGGAGAGAACTGATGCAGCCTAACTTAAAAAAAAACTTATCTCTTTTCTGTTATTTAAAATGGAAAAAGGTCCTAATTTCTACCCCACATAAAATGTCAGAGATGGTTATGGTATTCTTCAGAATTAAAGGATTAGGAAGTATGAAAGTAAAGGCTGAAAAGCCAGTGCATTTTTGTCAGTGGTTGGTTCGCTTGTTGTTCTTTTTTCCTGTCAAACAGTCATTATACCCTTTAGCTTTTAAAAGTGTTTGGCCCAAGATTCCTAACTGAACAGTCAAAATACCAGTCAATCGTACCAGCTAAAGGTGCCTGTAGGAAGGTGCGTCTGAAAATATTTTGTAACTTCACCTGTTACTATTTCAGGTGCTTGAATTTGCCCGTATTTTACTTCAAGAATTCAAGATTCTATTTTTGGGAGAGCAGTGTCTTTTAAAGACGTAAATACATTTTAAAATTCAGTCTTCTGTCAGCTGCACATGTCAGAGATGGCTGGCTCCTTTTCAGTTGTTGAGATGCAACAGCAACAAATCTGCCTCTTACTAAAAAAAAAAAAGTGCACTTATTGCTGTTTTAAAGCAATTTTATTTGTTTACAGGTGTCAGCTGTGATGCATGTTTAAAAGGAAATTTTCGAGGTCGCCGATACAAGTGTTTAATTTGCTACGATTACGATCTGTGTGCAACTTGTTATGAAAGTGGTGCAACGACAACAAGGCATACAACTGACCATCCAATGCAGTGCATACTAACAAGAGTAGATTTTGGTAAGTGATAATTTTAAACTCTAGTAATTTGCTGCTGTGTTGTGTCTACAAAAATAATACGGATTTTTGTGTTTCTACTGATTAATCACTTCCCTTGTTAGCACACTGAAAATAAGAGCAAGTTCTCGTCTTCTGAAAACGGGCATATTTTCTTTGATTTTTAGCATACAAGAATGGATCTACATATTTCTTTTTAATTGGTGCACATATCTTCTAAATATTTTTTTATTTTGGTCTTATAACAGCACGTTATCAGAATAATAAATACGCTTAATAACAATGACTACTAATTAACTTCCAGTTCAGAAGATGTGGCAACCTTCTCCCCCCAAGTGTGCTTTAATTGCCCCACACTATACGAGCAGAAGAATCCTGGTGAGGTTTTGTAGGAATATTATTCATGGATGGCTTATGTGGGACTGGAGGTACAGCAGGGGTGGCGATGGGCTGTACTGAGTATAGAAGATTAGTGGCAAGGACTAGCATGTAATCTTCTTCGAACTCCTTTGAAGATCTACTAATTTAAGAATTATGTCTGACTGTAAAGCCATGTCAATATTTAAAATAAAAAATAATTGTTCTTATCTCCTGCCCTGCTTGTTGTTTCTACTGCATCATATTTGTAACAGGTTGTAACTCATGAGCTGCTTGTGTGACAAACCACTGCTTTAAGATGTTGCTGATGCTGGACATGCATTTCCTTTTATGTTAAGCCCACAGGGCTAGCATTATAACTTTTATTTTTTTTTTTTAAGTGATTCCAGCTGTATTGTTCTACACATTTTGAATTCTTTGAATATCATGATTTCTCAAAGCTTAAGTCTTATGAATTGTAAATTACTTCTTTATCTTTTTGATTAAAACAGAAGTAAAATCTGCTTCTTTATTGCTTTAAAGATTAGAGAATAGCTATATATAGAAACATGCATTTGGTTTCTCAAAATGGCCTTTGAATGAAGATGTCTTTGATTTTCTTTTAGTTCTCAGGCCTCCATTTGACCTAAGACTGCCTGGTCACGACTTCAGAAATCCAGGCCCTGGGAATCAAGGGTTTGGAAGGAAATAATTATCAAAAATGCATGCCACCGTTTTAGCTTGCATATGTTTCTTCTCAGGCTTCTTTTTCATCTTACTAATACACTGTACACAGAGAATTTTACCTCATTATTTAAGGAGTCTGGTCACTGTTTGAGATGCACAGTTCAAACTTCTTAGCCCCTTAGCGATGGTTATTGTTGGATATTACACGTGAACTAAAAGGACCACATTGCCGTAAACAATAAACGTTCATCATAGGGGTAGAAGGACTGAAATATGCTTGCTATGAAGCATTAAGCTGACATTAAACGTCAAAGCTTTCAGTGTACTACAATGAGGAAACTTGTTCTAAACACTACTCTCTTAAAAAAATTTCTTTCATCAGAACCTAAGAATGTCTGGGAAATATATTTTATGTCTTTTAACTTGGATATTTCTCTTTTGGAAGTCTTTGATAAACGTATCTTTTGGTTTAATGCATTTTATTTGTGTATGTTGTGGGAGCAAAGAGGGGTTATTTTTTTACTGTTGAAGTCTGCATGTACAATACAGGTGGTGAGGTGGAAGAAGGTTCATAGTGAAGTATTGAGATGGATGATAGGATTCCAAGGGCTACTTCTTGGCATTACTTGGTATTTATGCTACTGTGGCTTCCTTAAATAAGAATAATAAGAAAACAAGCTCTAGAAATTTCATATGGCTTGATATCTGAGTATTGCTCTCACAGAACCATTGTTAGGGAAAAAAAATACTCTTCAGCAAGACTCCTGGTTTGATTAACACTGTAGAACAAGAACAGGAAAGAATACATCGCCACTAGATTGTGAATCACAGCAAAGGTTGATGGCACCTGAGTACTGGTGACTTTGGAAGCTTATACACTGGAGAATGAATTAGGGAATATTTATAAATAACATATTGCTTAGGGCTCAGGAAGGTCTGTGTCATCATTCTTAAAATATGTTTATTTTACAGTTCCCTGTAGAATGTAAGACATGAAGGAGCGTGCCTTTAAGTATTGTACAGATTCTTAGAGAAACTACGATAACTTTTCAAAGGACCTTGTAGAGCCAAGGAGGTCATGTGACTTTGAGGAACATCCAAAAAGTTAGGAGCTAAGGAATGTTGAATTTACTTAGAACGTTAATAACGAATGGCAGAACTAGTCTAAAAATGACCTATTTCAGAGTTGGCAGCATAGCTGTACTAATGAATATTGAAAATCACCAGGGAAGCAGATATTAATGGGTTAAAACAAAATAATCTCAAGGGGAAGACTGATAATGGCATAGAAGTAGTGAAGTGTTCAGTCACTTCCTAGTGATGTGGGAAGTCAAATAAAAGAAGAATGTTTTCAAATGTATGACAGTATGAGTAGGGAGTTTTCCTGAGTAAGGAAAACTGCAGTATAAACACAGAATGGAAGACTGTTAGTATAGGTGGGTGTGTGAACTGTAGCTTGCACGGCCATTGACAAACTTCAGTACTGTTGTCTGTAATCAGGTTTGATTCAAAGGTATGAAAACTCTTTTTAAGAGGAGTAAACTTACAGTTTTTGCTGATGTTGGGGAGGGAAATGGACAGTTGGTAAAAGATGAACCCCTTAACAAGGAGAAAGAAGCAGAGTGGAGGATCCTTCCATTGCGAAATTGATGCAAGCACTTCAGAGGAAGTCAGTATTTTGTCACTTTTCTGATTTTTGAAAGTGCACATCGGGATCAGTGACTCATTTGCTAAAGTTCCATCTGCAGCTGATGAAAAGGACCCTGTACTTCTAGTTCCCATCACCATTCTGGCTAGCACTATCTCTATGCAGATGACTGTGGAGTTTGCTTAAGTACTCTGTACTCATGGTGCTATGTGTCTGGGATTGTTTTAGCATAGAAAAAGTTAACGTATTGTTTATCTCCATGAAAATTTTGATCAGTTTTTATGGTTCCTAGGTACTGAAATAATGTTGCAAAGTATTTTGCGAGAAGATGGACTACTTTAGGTGCTCAGAAGGAGCTTTTGTTGTCATCTTGATATATTTTGACTTATTCCACCCACCCCGCCCCCCCTCGCCCCGAGACTTGGACTAGTATAGGAGCCTGTATGAGAACACTGAAAACAAATAAAAAGCCCTAGTGATTTCTGACTACACATATGTTCACTCTTGTACCATCTGGTTGGTATATTTGTCTTTCAGGAGTCGATGTGTGACCTAGTATTAATTTTGAAGCAAGATGGGATCCAGAGCAATGGCAGTGCTATTGTTCTTCAGTCCCCACAAGAGACACTGGAAAAAATGTTTTAACATGCACATCAAGAGTGATATGCTGCTGTAACAGGGACAGAGCTTAAAATAAAATATGAAGTCTCATATTTAATGACAAGTGGCCTTTAAAGCACAAATCCAATTAGTTTATTTCTGAGGGGTCAAAGAGTAGAATTGCAGTTAGGCCTGTATAAAGAACAGGAATGTGCTTAGCGGGCAGTCATTGTGCTTTTTGTAGGACAGTTTGTCAGGACAATGGAGAAGTTCAGAGCAAATTTCCCAATTTTCTTTCTCCCAAAAAAGAATCCTAAACTGTTAGGATGCTTTATGATTTTAAACATGTGGCTTGCACATTACCCCCACCATTTTAAATGTGTTATACTGGCAAAGAAAGTAATAAAAGTTGTTAGAATTCTCCACCAAAATCATATTGTGTTACTTTGATAAAAGTACACAACAAGTGTACCTTCACTTGTCAGCTCATGTGCTTATGTGACAGAAGATCCTGCCACCTTTTATGCATAATTCTTAGGCAAAGGGAGCTACTTAAATAATGATTACCTTGATAATGTGTAGCATGAGCTCTCACTGGATTCATCAGAATTCAGCTTGAGGTTTTTGTGACTTTTCAACTGCTAAAACAAGATCTATCTGGTAATGCCTGTCTTGCTAAGTCAGAGCATCGTAGAATAGTGTAGTTTGTTTGGAAGGGGACTCTGGAGATCATCTGATCCAACCTTCTTTTGGAAGCAGGGGACATAAGTTGTGCTGTCCCATCAAGCCAAGTCTTGAGCATTTCCCTCAAGGGGTGTTTCACCATTTCTGAGCCGCCTGTTCCTGCGTTTAGTTCCTACAGTGAATGTTGGATTTCTTGTTTGTTTCCCTTTATCCAAGCAGAATTTCCTCTGAGGCAGCTTGTGCCTGCAGCCTGTCACCATGCTTACTTTTGAAGGCGATACCTCTGTTTCCTCCACAACTACTTTTTCAGTATATGAAGTTGGGAGATGAGGTCCACCTTGAGCCTTCTCTAGGGTGGAGGAACCTCATTCCTTCAGCCATTCTTATGTCAATTTCTCCAACCCTCTAACTGTCTTGGTGGACACAAATGTGTGCATGCACACACAACGGACACAAAACCCCCTAGATCCTCTCTGTTTTATTTCAACATCTGTCTTGAATTGGAGAGACCAAAACTAAACCCTGTGTTGCTGGTCTTGCCTAGGAGGTGCCAAGTAACATGGAATAATCACATCCCTTGATTTGATGGCCATTCTCTTACTGATTTAGCCCAGGTTATTGTTTGCCTTCGGTGATGCAGGGGCATACTGCTGGGTCATGTTTGGCTTGCTGTCCAGTGGAATCCCCTGGTCCTTTTTGGCAGAGCTGCTCCCAAGCTAGTTGACCCTGGCTTTGAGTAGCAGCTGCTGTGTTGGCACTGCTCAGTATTGGCAGATGGGCTGCAAATTGTCTCTCATTTTCATTAGCATCTGTTCTCGTTTGTGGCTTCAGCATGTGAACCAGGGTTGCTCCAGAAGGAATAAACGAACCAGGAGCTGAGGGTGATGGCAGCACAGGCAGGGGCAGTGTCCTCACTGACAGGGTGTGCAGGGCAGGGTTGGTAAGAGGAGCGGGTCTCATGGACAGTCCCAGACAAAGCAAGTATAACATGTCAGCTCTGGAGTCCGTGCAGCATGGTTTGTGGTCA